AAAAGTACTGAGTATTAAAAAAAGTAATTTTTGCCCAGAGAGACGATTTTTATTTTTATTTATGTTTATACGAAAGTTTGCTATTGTCCTTCCGCTAATAATTACATTATGATGTTAGGTAAATATGTATGTGATAGTAAAATTGCCGCTAAAAACTTCATTGCAACATCAACAATGGTACTATTTTATTACTTCCATAATAAAATAATAATGTTTACAAGTTCCACTTGGATTTTATTCAAATTGTATCCATTGGTTAAATTCCTTTCTTCATAAAATCATAATTGTGTTTTTTTTGTATCTAATGATTTCTGTGAAAACCCTGTAAATGTATAACATTTTGTTCCTATACCTTATTTATTAGTTTTGTTAACAATGAGATGAACAGATACGCTACTACGCTAAAAACCTTATGTAAATGAAATAAAAATGATACATCATGTACAAACGAGTAAGAGTATTATACATAGATTTGTGTAATTTATGAATTTGCAAATATTTTGGGTTCCGTGTGATATAGAATTTAGCAAGAACTCTCTAATAACAAAAAAACTTATATGAAGATGATTTCGATGTTTTAAAAAAAATACAGTTAAAATTAATTCTGTTCATTATATTACATCTTGAGTCATGGTCGGAAAGCTCTATTTCTTGTTAGATTAATTAAAAAAGTTAAATGTTGTATTATTAAAAATCCGTGAAATCCTATATTTTAACTAATAGGATAAATACGTGTCATTGAACACAAAGTGATGTTACCTCAAGTAATTAAATTTACTTTATTGCAAACACGTTTTGATAAGAAATCAGAGATATTAATTCAGTATGAAATCAAAAATAAATTAGATCTATACTTGAACTATGCTCTTCTATCCATTACTCATTTCGCATCAATCGAGACACCACTTGTTGGCTTTTTGTAATTGAAATTCAATTTAGTTAGATATTGTATGAAAGTTTGATAATTTTAACTGAACAAAGATAACTGGATTGGACTTCTTCCAGACAAAAACACTTATTAACAAACAACCCATATACAAAAAAAAAACGGAATTTTATACTATTTCAAAGATATTTGTGTGGAAAAACTATTCTGCAAGTGTAGTGTACATACTTATTATATTTTAGGATGCATCTTTCAACAACCATTGAAATATGATGCAAATTTTTATTTTATTAATTTGCTTTGGAGCGTAGAGCAATTTATTCCTCCGTTGAAAAAATATAGATTTAGTGATTGGAATTTTTGTCAATTTTTCAATTTTTGCGCCTCCTTCACTTCGTGCACTTAACAAAATTATCGACAATTTAGCATGCACTCGGTTTATTACTATTGACAATTTGGAGCACTAAATATTTTTTTTATTTAATTTTTTTTTCATCTTTGTTTTCTTTTTTATTTTTATCTAATTTGTTATAATTTATAATTTAAAAATACTCTGAAAGATACAATAGAAATAGCGAAAATGATGTAAGTAAGTAAATGAAAAATAATTTTGTAATGAATGTTTTTTCATTAGAGGCTGTTTAGTAGATATAGTAATTATAAAATAAACAAATCTGTTAAATAATTAAAAAGTTAAGAAATTTATTTAAAAAAGAAACAAATAACACCAAAAACAACAAAGTAAGTAAGTTATAAATTTGTGTGTCACCACCTTATCGGCAGTAAATGTGCATGCGTATTTGTTAAACCATTTTGAATTGCATCAGTATAACATTATAAATATGCAATGATTTTTAAAAATAATTTATAATCCAAAACACGAAAAATAAGGCTGGAATCAAGCGGTTTTGGATGTGCTTTCAGAAAATAATTAATAACAATTAAAACGTTACAAAAATGTAATCATGTTTTGACAATTTAATTTTGTTTTGTTTTTATATTACGCGATTTTTTCATAATTCATAATGGCAACTTATATGACTTTTTTTTCCATAAAAACTGAATAAATGTAGATAGTTGTATTCCTTAGATTATATTACCTTTGTTAAACCTAAACTGAAAGTTATAATTTTTACATGAGTTATTTTACTTTGTTTTTTTTGAAATTTTTTAGATCAGTTTCCTTTATAACAGTCCAACAGTAATTTCCTAACATATTTTCATCCCAAAAACCTTTGTGCCGATCTTCGAAAACCCTTCGGATCTTGATGAAAACGCTCGCCCAGTTCGTCACTCATGGTGTCTAAGTTTTTAGTTAAGAAGTCCAAATGCGACTTAATAAAATGTATTTTAAAATCCATTTAGACCCATCTGGTAATAATTTTGTAATAATTCAGCAACAGTTTGAATTTTAAATCGAAGGTATTTGTGCAGAAAGCAGGAAAATTTTCGCTCGTAACAAAAAACTGTAACGTGATAAAAAAATTAACAATTATTTTTGTTTAATCAGAGGTAAATAAACATAAAAATAATAATTTGACTACCTATTAAACACGTTATTATTTGTAAACTAATGAGTATCTAAAATTTAGGCATGTGTATGAGTATAGATATTCTTTTACTAAATTTTTTTACAACAAAGTTTAATTTAAAAAATATGACACACATGTACTTCATGTATTTCACAAATTTCAGGTATAATTATAGAAAACAAATGGCCAAAAAGAGAAAAATATATGGTGTCAGTTTCTACACTTTTGCATTTTGTTTGCTTGTCCCTACTTTTAGTTTTTTTCTTGATCTTGTATTTATCTCTGATGGGTATTGTTGGGTAATTTAAATTTCACAATATCATATCTATGATAATTAAAAACGTGCATGTCCTATTATAAAGCGCTTAAGGCTGATCGTTCACGAGATGGGAGAATGTTTGAGAATGATCTTTGGAGATTACAGCATAGTTATGATAATTTGATAATAAATAACAGTATTTTATTGATGATCATAGTTCAGTTTTTTTCTCGGATTTTAGTCTTACCAAAAATAAGAATCTTGAATTTCCTTATATTGATAGATTATATTAAGAGTGTCTAATTTCCTAGTGATAAAACTTGTCCACATGTTTATCACTTATTAGCAAAGCTAGTTTTGCGATTAATTTTAGTTAGTTGAACAATTCGTAATTATAAAAAAAACCTGTACGTAAAATAAAAAGATAACGAAGTAATTCTGTCGCTCTTCTATATAAGTATAAACACAAAAAAAATAATAAAAAATAATTAAAAATAAAAATAAGGTTTTTCTACTTTTTATAATTTCATTTACATTTTTGTAATTTCCTTTTTTACATTTACACAGGCACTGATATAATTTTAACTTTGATTAAACCTGTGAGATTGAGCTCGAATTTTATTTATTCTTCGTTATTCTTAAAAATAATAACAATTGCGCCGATTTCCTAACGAAATGATATAACAAGTCATGTACTCTAAAAATCGCAATTCATCTTTCATACATTTGCTTATTAACAGCTTATAATAAATTGCTACAATAAACTGAACAGAATAACGATGCGTCATTTATCTAATCAGTGATATAAACACTTGATAATTATAATAAATGGACTAATACTATCGGTCTACTGTACAAATTTATACTAACAATAAAAAATTACTATTAATATAAATATCATGATGGACACAAATTGTTTTTTTTTTTCAATAAATTATTTCTCGTAATTCATCAGTCATTACCAAATTTGTTCCACCTCCACAAAAATTTCTTATTACTATCAAAGCTAAGTAAGTGTAGTAAGAGAAGCAATAAAGCTCGTTTTATATGCTATTGAATCAAAGAATATGGTGTGTTGTTTTTGTTTAAAATCTCCCTGTATCACCCTTTAAATACCCTTAGATTATCCAAAACTTAAAACTTAAATAAATATTTACATCTTGGTTAGGTATTTATACCTGGTTGACGTTAAAACCGCATTACATAAATGTGACAGAAGGAAAAAGATGATTATTTGCAATATTTATATGTGATGTGTAAATAAACATCTTAAAATAGACGTTATAATGTCACTTAGAATGAACATGAATAATAAAGCAATAAGGAATTGGCTCCTCATGTGGTATATTTTGTGCGTTCTTAGCTAGAAAATGAAATATACCCACAAATTAGTGCCAAATATTATTACAACTTTTACAATACTTAGGTATAATCCAAAATTCTGGATAGGTACCACTTATAGTTTCAAACCGTAAAAAAAAATTAATAATGATTAAACTATGTATTTGCTTTCAGAAAAAAATAAATGATTACCAAAAATTTAACTCTGTTTAAATATGCAGTTGGAAGTTCTAAAACATATTCTACCCAGTGTATGTTAAAAAAAATTCAAAGTACATAGGTTGATAAAAAAAATAAAATAATTAAAAAAAATAAAGTAAATATAGTTATTTATTGTAAGAGTGTATTAGGTAGCATTTTATCCACGCAAGAATTTTCTTAAGTAGATAAAACGCGACTAACACACGACTGCAATATAACGTTTTACCCACAATTACAGTTTAATTAAAAATTAAACTGACATTTAAACGTCACGCCAAATGTACTTTCGGTTAAACGTAGTAAGCTGTTACGCGGTGCGCTGGTTACTAACAGTGGAATAAAGTTAGTTTATTCCACTAGTGGATAAAGTGGTACTTTATACGCATCTAAAGTGTGAAATAGTCTCTTTATAGAGTGATTGTGGATAAAAGATATATATATATATATTTTTAAAAACCTTGAAAGATGATCGCATCATTTTAGAAATTAATAAAATTAAGTTCCATACTTTTTGTTAAATTGTAAATGTTAGGTGAACTTGTTTTGAAACTAAAGTTGAAAAATCGTTGGACTTATAACCTTTATAATAATTTTACCCAAACTAAAGATAATATCAATAGAACGCATTTTCCATTTTATTCGATTTATGCCTTAATTTAGTACGGATCTAAATGCCTAAAACCATGGACCAATGTAATGTAATGTTCAAACAAAAAATCACAAAACTTCCTGTCATTCAATTTATATTTGGTTCCGTTAATAGGGTCATAAGAAATAAATATTGCAGTAAGACACTTTATTATATTACAAAAGAAAACGTATTTATACATTAGCAATCATGATATTGTACTTAAAGTAAGTAAAATATGCTAAATGAAATAAAAACTTTTGGCGAAGAGATTACATACAAAATTTTTGACACGAACGTTTGTAAATACAACAATTAAATTACATCCCAAACTAGTACTACAGTTTATTTTGTTACTCGACTTAGTCAAAAGGTACATTTGTTTATTTTATAATCGTAAATAGTAAATACACACCGAAAACCGGACTCATCGGAAATCAAAGAATTTGTATTTGGTGTATTGTCTTTTACCACAATTTGGAAACAATAAATAAAATAAATATCTTTAAAAAACAAAAACTACTATAAATTGAGCAATTAAACAACAAAAATATACAAAGTGAAGAGTTTCACAAATAACGACGAATTTCAATTTAAATTAGAATAAAAACACAAAACAGCAAAAGAATATTAAAATTAAATTTACATAAGAAAAATAAAGGAATAATAAGAATTAATATTTTGAAAATAATTTGTGCAAAATCATTATTAATAATGTTAAAAAACAGCTTTTCCAAAAGAAGAAGGCAATAAATTTTAGATAATTGGCAATGGCTGAAACATTATCTAAAATTTATTTTAAAATGAATCGGTTAACATAAAATCTCTTTATAAATGAAAGAGATTAATTAAAAATACGAAGGAAACAAAAATTGCAGAAAGGACAGACAGTAAAAGACATATAAAGCCAGTATTTTCATAGTTTACATTTCGTAATTAAATTGAAAACTTTAAAATAAGTTCGACAAAACAACGAAAATATACTTGAATTTGTCGAATTTATTTAATTTTTCACAATTGTACTGTCTTTTGTATTTAAATTTGAGCCTAAGCAAACTAATTTGACTGTATGGTGTGTCAGACTTTTCGTTTCAAACTTGATTGAGAGCACAAACTTCCTAAACTAAATCCCAACTACAGTAAAACATTTCACAACCATGATACAAGGCGGAAGCATTTGACAGGCACATCGTTTTAACATAAATTTAAAAATAATTAATTATTCACATAACCAATCGCATGGTAACTTTGGCATTTTACTTGCCGGCCACGGTAAATAACCGGATGTTTTAAAAACACAGTAGTCATAAACAACTTTGGCAATCAGACCTACGAGTAACACTACTTCTATAGTGATAATGTAGTAGATATAATCTGTCCAGTCTTGTTGAGTCTGGCAGAGTTTAGAAGGGTTTAGATCTATCACTTTCATATCCATGTTATCACAGTAGATTTCTTCAAAATCGGGGATGTTTTTCTGCTTCGTCAACAGCCATACCTACAATTCAAAATTTTTGACTCGTCAAACAAAATTTAAATCAAAACCTTCAAAACTTTGGCTGTGTTGCAATCACACTGGAGTCTGTTGAGACCAAGAAAAACGTATCGGACAAAATTATTTCGGTCCAGTATGTTTGAAAAAATGTAAGTTGGGAGCTGAATGACAAGAATTATTGTTAAAACTACAAATTTCAAGTTTTACCGATTTCAACTTGTTGTTTCTGAGACTCAGGACCGCAAAACTGCTCAAAAATTGCGACCCCTCCAACGGGAGAATCGACGTAATTTGGTTATTATCCGCATATAATTCCCTTATATTCTGGTAGGAAGAGTCGGTACTAAACAGCTCTAATGAAGTTATATTATTATTCGAAACGTTTAAAGCAATAGTGTTGGCCGGAAGCGGTGAGGGCAGTGACGTCCAACTCTGGCCTGAACAATTCACAGCCACAGCAATTGTTGCTTGTTTTCCAGACACTAGATCCAGTCTTGAAGGTTCACAAGTGCAATTTTTACGGCAATCTTTACGCAACTAAAATCAGAAATTACAACTCGCCACGCAATCCTGCTCGAATAGTACTTTATGCGTTCCAATCACTTGTGTAAGAGGGATAGTTTCAGTCGTATTGAACCAGTGAAAGGTTTTTGCAAATAAACAAAACGAATTGTTTATGTTACTGAAGTGGAGCTCAGTTCGTTGTAAAGCGTCGAATAAGTTTGAGCATAACATGTGCTGATTAGCTACGAAAGAATCATTTTAACAGGATGGTGGAAGGAAGTGATACTCACCTGATATGTCCAGAGTTACATTTCCATCTTTTTTAAACCGGGGAACATCAGATAAATTGTTATGTGAAAGATCTAAGAAACTCAAATTGTATAAATTGACCAAAGATCTATTTTCAAAATTGACGATCCCGTTTGAGGATAAATTCAAACATGAGACTATGGTGTGTTTGGCGAATTCCCCAACTACGCTGTTTATTTGGCCGTCTGTTATAGTCATGTATCGCAGATATTTCAATTTCCTCCAGTCTTCCACATTTAGGATGTCGAGACTGGCATTCCGTATGTGGAGCGATTCCACATGCCCATTGCCACTGATGTCTGTTATTACAAAAGAATATTAAGACAATATTGACTAATTAAGCAAAAATAAATTTTGTAACATTGTTTATAGGAGTGATAAATTAAAACAATTACTTGCGCATGCCAAGCCTTCCGTTAGTTGGAACTTATTTACGTTGCAACAAACGGCAGCGCTTTTACAGTATGGGAGTTTGCGACAACGACATTTACTGTCAGGGCTAGGACAAGCTTCTGCTGGTTGATGAAAACAGTGGTCTGTTACGCAGTTGTCCAGGGAAGAGTAGGTGATATCTTCGGCTAAGCGACTCCATGATGGTTCGATCAGAAGACAAAGCAGCAAAATGCTTAGTGTCTCCCACATCTGCAACAAGAAAAATAGTAACTACAACAAGAATCACCTTTAAATCTAAGAGTGCATTTTGAAGTACCTAGTCTTTGTTTACGTTATACCTTCCAATAAATTATTTATTTTGACAAATTCCACGGCCGTCGTCGAGGTCAACTGGTTACTTGCACATCTGAGATTAAAAATTAAAGTACCCATTTCTTTATTTTTCGCAAACAAAATAACTTCGATTTTTAGATTATAATAACTGTGTGATGTTATCTTCAGGTTTGTGAGAATCTAATATCTAACTATTCCATATCATTTTTGTAAATCACAATTTATGATTCAAAATTTTCAAACATCAACGACCTCTATAGGATTTAAAAAATACTTTTTGTCTAAGACGCGAGTAAGGATAAATTCTTGATCCTTAGTTGGTGTAAAATATTTTATTTATTTTATTATTAAATAAATAGAAATCTTCCTACTAATGTTATGAACCTTGTTGAAATAAAAATAAGACCTGAACTAATTGATCGTAACTTTTAGATTTTGTGTGTTTCTAAAAACAAACAAGATTCTTCTTGCAATTTCTTGAAAATTGAAAAAAATCTTGCGAAACAAGTCGAAATAAAATTGGAAGTTGATATGTTGATTTCTTGTTCATTTGTTCATTTCATTCGTGCTCAATTGAAATACAGGTAAACCTTTAATCCGACCAAGTACTCTACAATCCGAATAGTGATAACAATTATCTCCACTTTTTATAAAATAGCTACATTATGGTATTATGTTTGTCGTATCGTTCTTTTAGAAGAGATGAAGAAACAGGCCCAGGAGCAGTCAGACTTGATCAAAAATTACAATAGAGTACTTCATTTTTTAATCGTCAATAAATCCACATACATATTCAACAATAAAATTATCCATTTTTTTATTTGGGTTTACTTTTCTTTTAAATAATACCTTTTTATACGTATCAAGTAGGTACGCAAAATGCAGTTTTATTAGAGGACGTACCGTTATTAACTACGAGACGACGAAGAAGCTCGGATTATAGAGGTTCTACTGTATTAAAACAGTAGTATAGTTTGGTTGAACAAATAAATAGTTTGGTTGGACAACAGTACAATTTAGAATTTATTCAAAACAATAATACCTTATAAATCCAACTAAAAAGTACAGCTGTTCTTCTTTTACTCAGCAGTTTTGCCAGATTAATTAATATGTCGTTTATTTTTAAACCCAACTTAAATCGTACCAAGTTAACAATTAATTAATGATCGCATATTTTTTTTCATATTTACACACGTGTACATTTTTAGATATAACTCGTATATATAATACCCCTACCTAATAGGGTCAGTCACAGGAGAGTTACTTTGAAAATTAATTAGTTTTCAACCAAAAATAACTGGATATAATATTTTATTTAAATTAATTCAGTAATCAATGTGAGTTGGATGAAAATGAGAGTCGTCAAAATGACAAGTAATTGTCTACTGTTTTTTTTTTCTTATTCTGGGCCAGTAGCAGTCCTCTGACGGGGTTTTTCATTGAGGGCCAATCTTGTTGTGACTTGGCTTCCAGTTTTCTGAATGTTTCAGGAACCAGATGCATTCATTTTGGATACCTCTCCAAGTACAGAGCTGCTGCCGCAAGAGCATTTTTCTTGCATTCTCCATGGATTAAGAGCATGCCCACTATTTCGTTATTTGTGTAATAATACATTGTATTAAAGAAAATTCACTGTTACTTTTTAAATGTCAAAATGAAAAAATATGCAAAGTATTCTTGGATTTAATTTTATAATTTTTTAAAATGAGGAAGCAAGACGCCTATGTGAATTATTTCAGAAGTAACTCTTCTATGATCGACCCTTCTTATCTCCTAACATTTTCATATTCATATTTATGTAATATAATCTCAAAAAAACAAAATAAAATTAGAAATACCAGATTGGATAAAAACACTTTCCTTTGTGTATAGTCGCAAAGTGTATCTTGCTGTTTATAGAAATTGTTGCTACTTATATAAAAATTGTTTCTTCTTCATGGGACTTAACACTATAAAATGTCTTGTAAAAATACAAATAAAACATGGATTTTCTTAAAAATACGTATTTTGAGTGTCATTAAACAGATTGTTCCGGCTAAACCCCACATTAGGAGTATTGGGATATACCCTTTTGATGATTGATGAGGGATTTTAAGTAAGTGCCTGATTTACAGGGTGTCCCACGAGTAATAATAACCCTGATTTTTTTTAAACAACGAGCATTACATTTCAAAGATAAGGTGGTATTAAAATATTTGGTTTTAACAAATTAAACATAGAGTGACCAAACAGTACTTCAATTTTAATTTATAAAAAGTCAAACCTTCAAGAATTTGGTGAAAATTACTAAAATGTTGACAAAAAGATCAACAAGATTCTCATTTATGATATGATATTTATTATGAAAAACGTTTCACACACTACACGTTTCTAATTCAGCGCGATATCCAAATAGACAGGCTTTCTAAAACTGGAATAAAATAGTAATTTTGACTGCCATAAATTTGTCAAAAGTAAAAATACGATTATGTACCAGAAATTTGTCAAAAATAAAAATACGATTATGTACTATGTTTAACTAATTAAAACGAAATATTTTATTATCGACGTTACCTATAAAATGTAATATTGGCTGCTTAAAAAAAATCAGGCTCATTATTACTCGTTGGACGGCTGTATAGCAAATTCCCTACTTTCCAAATTGTTCCCAATCCCAGTTTCTAAGGATTTCTAATTACATACCTTCATCTGACCAAACTCACTTCAATTCGAAGTTAAAAAAAAATTCAGATCGACTGTTCAGCTGTTTTAAAGAAATAACTTTTCCTAACACGCGTTTTTGAAACATAAAAAGTCGTAAAAAAACAAACAAAATACAATTAATGGAAACTTCTCTTATTAGGGTGGATAAACAGGAAAGATTACTTTCTTAATTGCTTGATACATGCTATGTATTTTTTATAAAAATAGACTCATTCGCTTCCATTTTAAACAATTTCCTTAATTTATGGTCAGTAGAATTATAAGTGAAATCTACAAACTTACACTCAGAAAAGTGATGTGTTTGTTATTACTACATTTGTAGTAGTAAAAAAAGGACGGTATATACTACTCTCAAATATGTTATAACGTACCAATTAGGTGATTAATGTTACTCATACAAGTGTAGATTTTACTAATAAAAAGTAGAGGTATAATTTACTACTACAAACAGTAAGCTAAACTATATTTTTTTGAGTAAATTTTACGCAAAAATTGAATAGTAAATTCAACTGCAATGTAATTGTAGGGTTTACTACTACAATAAGTTAATTTCAATTATAACTAGAATGTAGCTGTAAGATTTACYACYACAAAATGTAAAATGTAACGGTTGTTAGATCTCCCGCTWTAAATAATACAACCCTCATAGTGGTGGTGGGSCAGTAGTAAGGTCCAGTTGAAGACGCGCGATTGACAATTGATTGTGATTTGCGAAACAATAACGGTCATTTCAAGCTAATATATAAGACTTCTTAAGGGCCGTTGTCCACACTGATTATTTTAATGTAACAGTGGTGTGAAGTGCTTGTGAAATTTAGTTCAAAGTTTCAATTTGTGTTTAGAATTTTCGATTTT